TGGAGAGCTTCACAGGTGCTCACATCACAGGTGGGGTGTGTGTGGTCAGTAGGATGGAGAGCTTCACAGGTGCTCACCTCACAGGTGGGGTGTGTGCCTGTCGGTAGGGTGGAGAGCTTCACAGGTGCTCACCTCACAGGTGGGGTGTGTGCCTGTCGGTAGGGTGGAAAGCTTCACAGGTGCTCAGATTACAGGTGGGGAAAAATGCCTCTCACAGAGATTAGGATCTATAAAAGTAAAAGGTTTGATTTATCTTTTTGGAGGAAAGAGGGAGTCAAAGAGAGTGGGAAAAGAGAGCAGGAGATGGTGTGTCATCCCAAAGGAAGAGAAGGGAAAGCCAGCCCAGAGAACAAGAGATTGTGGTTTTCAGGGGGCTGCAGTCTAGAAACCGCTGCGTCTGCTCCTTCGGTCCTCGGCCTCGCCAGCCAGTGGATAACAGAAGACCGTCCCAGTCCAAGAGCTGGCTCCCTTCCTTTCTTTGGAGATGAGGTTGTCTGAATCATCTCAGGAGATGGGAAGAGGCTGCCCTGTCAATATGGCTGAAGCTTGAAGCTCCTTCCCTGCTGTTAACTCAGGAACTCTGTGAAAAGCAGATTCTGAAATAAAGGGATTTGGAAAGAAAGATTTACATTTCTTTTCTGTCTGTTCAGCCCTTTTAGGAAGTGCTGTACAACAAACCTCCCACTGGGAAGGGGGTATGTTAGCAAGAGCACTTACAGGATTGATCTTTAACTGTTACTAGGAAATTGTAGGGTGAGGTGTTTTTCTATTATTTTTGCAGTTTTTACAAGGCCACCCCTTTCACTGGTGACTCTGTTTTCCTGTCATGCAGGAGCTTCCTAAACTCTCTCCTACCCACATGTGAGTGTATAATAGGCTAGGATGGGTTGGGTCACCCATCAGTCACTCATGGGTTTGCAGCCACCCTGAGACCCCACTGGGCAGACCCTGAGTGGGCTCTGTCCCCGGGAAGGAGGGGTCCACTTTGATTATGCTCTATTTCCTTTCCCAGGGAGGGGCTGCAGAGGACTGTCTGCTCCATGGGTCTCTACTCCATGGTCTAGGAGTTCATTCTTTTTCCATTAGCCATTTTGGTCATAGTGAAGTGGGAGATGGAGAGTGAGCCTCCCTGGGTCCAGGCCGTTCTTTCAGGCTCTGGTCTGCCCTTGAAAGACAAGAATGCAAAACCACATTTAAGTCTCACATAGTCACTTCTGCTCCTGACTTGTGGCTCCCTCTCTTAAAACTTAGCCAGCTTGCTGCCCCCAGAGCCAATTTCAGGTACAGCCACATCTGTAGGTCTTGTCTCAGTGTGACTCTGAGCTTCCGCTCTTGCAGGCCCGTGTGTGTGTACGTGTGTATATGTGTGTGTGTACGTGTGTGTGTGTGTGTGTGTGTGATCTCCCCTTCCCTGGCTTCCTTTTTACCCTTTCTCTCTTAAATTAAGTACAGGCCACTTGGCCCTACCAGCCTCAGGATTTAATAATAATAATAATAATAAAGACCACACCTTGTTCTCTTTCCCTTGAGCTGTATTTGCATAATTAAAGATTTTGCAGAGTGACAGCCTGACTCCACTGAGAGGTTTTAACAATGAGTTTGATTATTTCTGCAAAGCTGTTTCAACAAGGCTTAAACACTCAAGGCCATTCTCACTTTCTGCTTTACGGATGGGGCTGAGAAGCAGTTGCCTCTCCAGACCTGAGAGTGCTATCTCTTCTTTTGTACAACTGCTTTCAAACTGCCCTGTTCTTTCCAAGGTAATTTCCTTCTTGTGATAACTTACCAAGCACAGTCAAGAGCGGCCAACTCGTGCTAATCCGTTCCAACCCTTGCCCACTAGACAGGCTGTTCTCCACCCCCCCACCCTCCCCCCACACACTTTCTCTGTGTGGCTCTGGGCTCAGACTCTTGTCAGTGACGGGCTTGTGCACACGTTTTGGGAGGCAGGGAAGAGCTCCTGGCCATTAATCCCACAGGTGGGTTTAGTCAGACATGGGGACTTGAGAGGGACCCTGTGGCTGCTGGGATATCACAGAGCTCCTGTCACTGCAACGTGGCTGAGCTTCTGGGGCCCTTCCCTTGAACCTGCTCCCGGCTGCTGCCCTTCCCTGCCATTTTCGCCCTGTCTGATAAAGTGCTTGTGCATGACTCATTCGTACCTTCCCTGTTGGAGGTTTGGATACCTTTTCTTTTCCCTAGAACTAGAAGCCTAACTCACACAACACATATTTTTCCTCTCAGCGATATGACCATCAAAGTATTTAAAGACTCTCTTCCCCGAGGACCTAGGAGGTCAGGGCTTTCCCGTGGGCTCCATGCTAAGCCTTCCGTGGTTTTGCAGGGCCTGGCAGGGTCAGTGCAGCAGAGGCGTTAATGACCAGATTAGTCAAAGGCAGACCAGCTGAATTATGAACTGTTATTCCAGTCACTAGAAGGTTCTTTAACTGGAAACTCAACGGAAAGGATACCTGCAGGATTTGTAGAGAATTACAGAACTCTTAACTCTGTGAAAGTAATGTATTTGTAATATCGATTACATAACAATAACTGAGAAAGATCTAAAAATCTCTAACCCTCAGTCTCTACACCCTTCTTACCGTGGACCTGATGATAATTCTTGACTGTGATTAGGGGAGTGGCCTCACCCAGATCCAAAGACCCTTCTCTGGGTCCCCTGGTGTCTCAGTCCCAGCTTAATACTCTGGTGGTTCCCACAAAGTCTCATCCTGCGCTGTGAGCCTGAGAAGGGCTGAGGCTGGGCCTTTGCCTCTGAAATGCGCAGCTCCTCACTCTGCTGCTGGAACCAGCCGTGGCTTCAGTGGCTGTTCTCTGACCCCCCCTAGTTCCGGGCTGTTTGTTTCTTACTTTGTGGTTGTGTTTGTGCTGTCTGAGCAGACTGTTAAGTAAACAATACTAATGATGTTATACGAACTAACATGGTCACTTCCTTTATGCCAGGCATGGAGGGCCACCCCTCTTGTTGCTTCCTTTTATCTTTTTTTTTTGTTTTTGAGATGGAGCCTCAAGCTATCACCCTGGGTAGAGTGCCATGGCATCACGCTCACAGCAACCTCCAACTCCTGGGCTCAAGCGAGTCTCCTGCCTCAGCCTCCCAAGTAGCTGGGACCACAGGCGCCCGCCACAACGCCCGGCCATTTTTTGGTTGCAGCCATCATTGTTGTTTGGCGGGCCCGAGTTGGGGATTTGAACCCGCCACCTTAGGTGTATGTGGCTGGTGCCTTAGCCGCTTGAGCCACAGGCGCCAAGCCACTTCCTTTTATCTTTATATCGCTTTTAGGAAACAGATGTAGCCTTGTGCCCTTTTACAGACTGGACAACGGAGACTTCAGTAGTTCACGCTAACTGTCAAAGCTTGAACTCGTAAATGTAGGGTCCGCTTCCACACTTTGAAACGTGTCCTAGCATCTCTCGCTGAGCCCCGCATCCTGCTTTAGATATTTATTGCAATCTTACATTTACAAAGTGTTGTGATACTTACGTTATTTCACTGTCAGTGGCTATTACTCCTTAGCCTCCACTGACTGCTGACTGTGCTGAGCTGGGCACTTCAGAAAGAGACCTCGGTAGTGAGCACATACAACAGGAGGATAAAACAAAGGCTTAACAAAGCAGTCAGGGCATCCAGAGCAGGTACTGATCAAGCTGCCTTGTTTTTCCTTTGCCTGTTGCAGGAATACCAAATTGATATATTTTTCGCTCAGACCTGGACAGACAGTCGCCTTCGATTCAACAGCACAATGAAAATTCTCACCCTGAACAGCAACATGGTGGGGTTAATCTGGATTCCAGACACGATCTTCCGAAACTCTAAGACCGCTGAGGCTCACTGGATCACCACGCCCAACCAGCTCCTCCGGATCTGGAACGATGGGAAAATCCTTTACACCCTGAGGTAGGAAGCCGCCTGGATCCTCAGTTGCTCAGGTCTGGTTGTCTGAGTGTGTGGCTGAATCCAGCCCTCCTGTGGGCTGATTTTGGACCCTTAATTTAAATGGTCACAGGTGTGAGGCCCTGTTTTTACCTCTTGAGTTCCTTTTCACATTTCACACACTGCAGCATCCCCCAAAGAGTTTGTTCTGCTAGCACGTAGATAAAAATAAAGGTGTAAAAATGACCTCCAAAGAATAGAAACTCATTTCTTCATCAGAATACATCTGCTGGAAGTGGGCTATGAACATTATCAGTGATATATTGAGACCCTCCTGCTGGGAAAAGGCAGCTATCTTCAGCGCTAATTAACTGAGCAGTTAGAGCCCAGTGGGAGACCTCAAGGAAGGGTGGGCATCCCTAGCACCCTATAAGGGGTCTGCCTAGAGGCGGGGAGGTCCTCCCAGAGTGACCAGCCAGGTAAGAGGAGCTGCAGAAACACACATTGTCACTCCCAGAGTCACCCCTGGGAACTCCTCTCTCCGAGGCCTCTGTGCTGTGATACTGAGTCTAAGTGAACGCATAACAGTGAGGCCACCTTGGCTGCCGCTGGCCGGTGTCTGTGGGATGCCTCTCCACACTGCTGGGTCCTCAGAGCAGGTAGAGCCTCGGGGAGCTCCCAGCCACCTTCTGGGATGCCCACTGCTCCCCAGGCACCGGTGAGCTCTCAGCTGTCTGCTCCATGTCCTCACTGTGTGTGGCCCCTGTCACTTCACGCTGTGACCCTTCCTGCTGCCTGAGGTCCCCACCCCCATGGATTTTAAGCCATACCCGTGCTGAGGATTCTTATATACCTACCTGAAACCCAGCATGTCCCTGGGGACTCCAGATTCTTATAGCCTGTGCCCCCAATATCTAAAGGCACTTCCGGGGCCCAGCATGGTGGCTCATGCCTGTATTCTAGCACTCTGGGAGGCCAACGCGGGTGATTGGTTGAGCTCAGGAGTTCCAGACCAGCCTGAGCAAGAGTGAGACTCCATCTCTAAAAATAGCTGGGCGTTCTGTCAGGCCCCCGTAGTCCAAGCTACTCTAGAAGTTGAGGCACGGGAATTGCTTGAACCTAAGAGTTTGACGTTGCTGTGAGCTGTGATGCCTTGGCATTCTACCAGGGGCGACAGAGTGAGACTGTCTCAAAAAAAGATATTTCCTCATCAGTCAGCTCAGGAGAATGTAATAGCTCTCCTTCCTCAGGCTAAGTGGACACCACTGCCAGGACCCTCAGCTGCCCTTTCCTCCAGGGCCCTGAGCTGTCACACTCCCCCTGGCTGAGCTTTTTATCGCAAATGATCTGTGACCAGGAGAAATCTGTGACTCCTAGTGTTAAACAAGCGTCCATAGTGCAAATGGAGATGAAAATAAGCAGAAAATGAGAGGGGACTTTTTGGTTGATTTCTTTTTTTTTTTTTTTAAGAGACAGGGCATCTTTCTATGCCCTACGTTGGAGTAGAGGGGCCTGATTGTAGCTCACTGCAGCCTGGAACTCCTGGCGGCAAGCCGTCCTCCTGCCTCTGCCTCTCTAGTAACTGGGACTACAGGTGCCCCCCAACCCCACACCCTGTTAATTTTTAAAAGTTTGTTTATAGAAATAGTATCTTGCTTTGTTGCCCAGGCTGCTCTTAGACTCCTAGCTTCCTCTCATCTCTGCCTCCCAAAGTGCTGGCATGACAGGCATGAGCCACCAAGCCAGGCCAGATCTTGGGATTTTAAGATTTCAGGGAAGCCTTGCCGGACAGGAAACAACAACAGTAAAAGCCACTGCAGGGGACTGTGCTGCTGAAATAAGGTGAGAGAGCTGGAGTTTGTCCAACATGTGTCCTCATCAGCCTTAGAGCGGCACGAATGAGACTCAGTGGAGTTGCTCCCCAGCAGGCAGAGTGGAGACCTGCCGGTCCTGGGCCCTTCACCGCGACTCCGACTTACAGGCCCATCTGCCCTGGAAGGATGCAGCGTCCCTGTTAGCAGAGCCACCACTCACCTTCCGAAATAGGGAAAGTTGTCCAAATAGGGAATTCCCCCTCACAGGGGGATTAATCTGGCTTGCTACCTATTTAGACAAACTCACAAGTTTCCACATGGAGGAGGGATGTAATTCAGATGTATTGAGATGTTCAGATGTATTGAGGGATGTAACACTCAAAACAACAGTTGGTTTTGTTTCCTCTCTGTCTTGGCTCATGTTTCTAAACACAGTTGGACTTTGACTCACTAGAATTCCCTCTGCTGCCCATAGTTAAAGGCAAAACAGTGACAGCAGTAGGAAAGGAACCTAACGGTCTCACCAAATGGACGGGGTCATTGCCAAGAGAGGGTTGCTGGGTGGGTCCTGAGTCCAGGAGCCTCCCTCCCTGTCCCTGCCCCTGCCCCCACCTCGCCCCAGAGCTGTGCAGGGTCGGTCCGCCCTCCAGAGTGATGCTCTGCTCTCCCGCAGGCTCACCATCAATGCCGAGTGCCAGCTGCAGCTGCACAACTTCCCCATGGACGAGCACTCCTGCCCGCTGGTCTTCTCCAGCTGTGAGTACCGGCGTCTCGGGGCGTGAGTGCGGTGTGAGGCATCTCGGGGCATGAGTGTGGCGTGAGGCATCTAGCCTTCTGGGAGACAGTCATGAAATTGATGACAGTGTCACCACTGTATAAGCAGAGGACATTGATAATGGTTTTGCTATTGGCTGCCTGGGGGTTTTCACTCTAGATCTTGTTATGTCTAGAACATAGGTAACTTTGATCAAGCTGTGAGCAACTTAACCATTCATGATAGATAACATTAAGGGATTCAGGCTGGGCACCATGGCTCACACCTCTGATCCCAGCACTCTGGGAGGCCAAGGCGCGTGGCTTGCCTGAGCTCATGGGTTTGAGACCAGCCTGAGCAAGAGTGAGACCCCCATCTCTAAAAATAGCCAGGCAATGTGGCAGGCGCCTGTAGTCCCAGCTACTTGAGAGTCTGAGGCAAGATGATCACTCAAGTCCAAGAGTTTGAGGTTGCTGTGAGTGTCATAGTGTCACAGCGCTCTACCCAGGGTGACAGAATGAGACTCTGTCACAGAAAAAAATAGAACAATAATAAAAACAAAGGATTCAGAAATTGATGACTGGTTGAATTCCCAGAGTCCCTTATGCTAATGAGCTATGGGTACTATTTGGGACCATATGTAATCCTATGCAGTACTTTTAGATTTAATGTTGTCTTAAACCAAGGTGATTTTTCTTCTAAATAAAACAATATGGTTTAAAAAATATATATCTCTCTCTCTATATATGTCTCATTGAACCTCTTTAGGGTGATGTCATTTTTATAGTATTATATCCTCTACTGTCATACTTATGATTAATATCATCATAGCTAACAAGTAATCACTTACAAAGTCTCAAAGACCTTAAGTACACAAGTACATGTGTATTAAACTTAGCAAATTTATTTGCTTATGTATAAAGTTTTTAAGTAAAAGTCAAGAAAATATTTCCATTGAGTGTGAATTTATGATGGTTCCTTCTCAATGAATTCATCACAAGTACTTACTGTTTGACTGATAAGAACTTAATTACCTTTACTGGCTTTCTTTAACATAACGTATATGGAACATGACAAACATACCTGATGAAATTTCAGGCATAAGTGTTTGTGGCTTTTTTCATTGGATGTTGTAGATCTCTTTCTCAACCTACAATGAAGTGTGAGACATGGTTGCCATGGTTTCCTTGTTCCTCCTGCTGCTGACTGCTTTGGGGCTCTTGGGAGCTCAGGCCCTGGCCAGCAGAGACTGGGGGGGCCCACGGGCAGCGACGTGAGTGTTCCCACCAGAACCCTTGTTTCTTCCTTCAGTAATTTCCATCTTCCTGTCATACTTTAAAGTTTAAAGGGTTGTGAAGCCTTCTAAGAGTTCAGTTCCAGGAATTCAGTTCCAGTTCCGTCTAAGAGTTCAGCTCCAGGAGATTTTCTATAAGTTACAAGACTTCCAGGAAGGAAAGTACCTACAGGGATTGTTTTTAAAAGATTTGTATGGAAATAGCGTAATTTAAATTCTTAAAAGGAACTCAGAAACATTGCTCAAGGAAACACTAAAACCTTAATATCAGTTAATGCCTTTCTGGAATTAGTTGGAAATTAGCATAAAGTAACAAAAGAAGTTTGATGCAGCTGGAGGAATGGTCTGTGAGATTGATGTCTGTTTCCAAGTCTCTGGTGTGGTGTGGTGTGAGGTGGGGTGAGTGACTGCAGAAGCAGGTGCCCAGAGCCTTGCATGGGTGTCAGAAGGCGGCACTCCTAACATGTGGGCAAATAAAAGCAATTATATCTGTAAATCAGGGAAAGACATGGCCAAATTATGTTTGGCAATAATGTGAAAGAGACTGTGTAAGAGCCAAATTGTGCGCTTCCCTCCAGGGGAGGCTGGGGAGCGGCAGGAACTCGGTTTGTCTCTGGCGGCCTGCAGAGTGGTGCAGTCACTCTGGGGACCTCTCAGCAGCTTCTCCCAGAATGAAACACAGAATCCTCGCACACTCCTTGGCATTCACCCAAATGAACTGAAAAAGTGTGTCTGCGTGAAAACCTGCGTACAGGTGTTTAAAGCAGCTTTGTTCGTGATTGCCAAAATTTGTAAATCAACCAAGTTGTCATCCTTCAGTAGTTGGATGAGGTAAGCAAGTGCGTGCTACGTGCAGGCAGTGGGTGTCACACGCCAAAGAAATGAATTTTCAAGCCACGAAAAGACGCAGGCAAACCTAAAGTACACGTTGCTAAGTAAGAAATTCAATCTGAAATGTGTGTATCCTAAATAATTCCAACCATGTGACCTTTTCCAACTCTGGAAAAGGCAAGGCTGTGGAAACTGGAAAAAGATCAATGTTTGCCAGGGGTTGGGAAGGAGTGGGAAAGCTTAGGGGAGCACAGAGAATTTTTAGGGCAGTGACAGTACTGTGTGTGGCACCACAGAGATGGATACACGTCCTGATACATTTGTCCAAACCCACAGAATGTGGAACACCAAGAATGAGCCCTGATGCTCGTGTCAGTGGGCTCATTGACTGTAACAAACGTCCACTCTGCTGGGGTTGCTGACAGTGGCCGAGGCTCGAGGAGGCCCACAGGGAGGTGTATGGGAAGTCTACGTATTTTCCACTCGGTTTTTCTGTGAACTTAAAATGCTCATTAAAAACATCTAGTAAGAGAATGACTAGAGGTAGATAAATCAGGTAGGAATCCATTGCAGTCTTATACAGGAGCTTTTTATTTCTTTTTTACACCAGTGTTAAAACTTTTATTTTATACCATGCGAGGTCAATTATAACACTTTAAAAAGTGACAACAGCTGTAAGCTGCATTTTTACATTTATACATCAGAAACATTCATTTTCAAAAGCGGAACATAATTCAACTGCTAATGCAGAAAAAATTTACTATGAAAATCAATGATTTTATAGCTGTCCACATTCTGTGATACTTGTTCTTTTATTAACAGACCTTTAGGAGAACCAAATGATTCAATCTTTCTCACAGTATCCATGTCATCCTTAACAAACCCAAACACTACATGCTTAAAGTCCAAATGTTCTGCTTTTTTCAGTGTTATATAAAACTGAGAATTATTGGTATCCTGGCCTTGATTGGCCATGGACAGCAACCCAGGACAAGTTATGTTTCACATCAAGGTCTTCATCTTCAAATTTGTCTCCATAAATTGACTTTCCTCCTGTTCCATCATGCTTGGTGATATCTTCCCCCTGACAATCAATACCTGGAATAACGCTGTGAAAAATGGAGTTCTTGAAATCAAAGCCCTTCTCTCCAGTGCACAGTGCTCGGAAGTTCTCAGCAGTTTGAGAAACAATGTTGGAAAATAGTTCCAGGGTTATACGTCCTAGAGGATCACCATCTGTGTTAACATCAAAAAACACCACAGGGTTGGCCTCCTTTGATAATTCTGCTGCCAGTCATACATGTGCTTTCTGGAGTTCCAATAAATTCTGTTGACATTCTTCAAATTTTTCTTAAAAAATCAGCCACATCTTTAGCTTTAAATCTCACGGCAAGTTGTTCTACTTTTGCTTCACCATCAGCATAATCGGAGGCAGTTCAAACTAAAGCATTATTTGAAACATTTAAGGGTTTTAATTCCATTGTTTTGGTAGTAACATGGTTTGCACATACTTTAAAGACCTGGTCTCTTCTCATTAGGATCTGACAGTAATTCTTCACTGTATGCCAAAGAATCTTTATATGTCCAACACCATGCTCCTTCCACTGATTGACGTCCCAATCCCATCTGTAAAGTTTGGCTTTTTTTTTTTTTTTTTTTTTTTGAGACAGAGACTCAAACTGTCCCCCTGGGTAGAGTACCATGGCATCGCAACTCACAGCAACCTCCAACTCCTGGAC